TCTTCTGACATACATTTAGATTTTTTCTTCCTTTCTCATCTTTTCAATGACTTCTTACTTTCTTCATGAGTGATGTTCTTGATGTCATCCCACAATTCTTCTGGTTTTCGATCATTGGTGTTCAATGCATCAAATCTATTCTTTAGATGGTCTCTAAACTCAGGAGGGATATATTCAAAGTCATATTTTGGAGCTTGTGGACTTGTTTAAATTGTCTTCAACTTCAAGTTGAACTTGCATATGAGCACTTGATTGTCTGTTCCATAATCAGCTCCTGGCCTTGTTTTGACTAAAGATATTGAGCTTTTCCATTGCCTCTTCGCACAGATGTAGTTAATCTGATTCCTGTGTACTCCATTTGGTGAAGTCCATATGTATAGCCGCTGTTTGTTTTGTTGACAAAATGTATTTGCAACGAATTAGTTGTTGGTCTTACAAAATTCTATTATGCGATCTCCAGCATTATTTCTGTCACCAAGGCCAAATTTTCCAACTACTAGTGATTCTTCTTTGTTTCTAACTTTTGCATTCCAGTCACCAGTGATAATTAACACATCTTGATTGCATGTTCGGTCAATTTCAGACTGCAAAATTTGATAAAAATCTTCGTTTCCTCATCTTTGGCTTTGGTGGTTGCTGCATAAATTTGAATAATAGTAGTATTAACTGGTCTTCCTTGTAGGTGTATGGATATTTATCCTATCATTGAGATAAGACAGATCTTGCAACATGCTCTGTGATGATGAATGCCACACCATCCTCTTCAAATTGCCATGCCTGGCATAGTAGATCATGTGGTTGTCTGATTCAAAACAGCCAAAACAGGTCCATTTCAGCTCATTACTGCCTACGATGTCAAACTTCATGCCTCCCATTTCATTTTTGTCAACTTCCAGTTTTCCTAGATTCATACTTCGTACATTCCATGTTCCTATTTTTAATAGTTTGAAGCTGTTTCTCCTTGATTTGTGCCACATCAGCAAATGGAGGTCCCTAAAGCTTTACTTTATCCATATCATTAAGGTTGGTTTTACTTTCATAAGGCAGCTCTTTTCCAGTCGTATTTTGAGAGCCTTCCAACCTAAGGGGCTTGTCTTCCTGCACTGATTGGACAATGTTTCAGGGCTATTCATAACATTGTCCAGTAATTTGTAGGCAGTGTTTCTCTACTATTCATAATGGTTTTCCTGGCTGATTCTTTGAGAAGTAGACAGCCTCTTCCTTCTTCCTAGTCCGTCTCAGTCTGTAAGGGTTTTTAAGGCTGTGACCTTTCAGAAGTAGATCATCATACCTTACTTCTGGGGTGCTTCTGGGTGGGTCTGAATGGCTAAACTTTGGGTTAGAAGTCCAGTACTTAACCATTTGTACCACCCAGGAAATGATTGCACACACTTGAAAAAAATAAAGAAATTAGCTTCATTGTTTTCTTATAATCATTGAAATACATGTTAAGTTCAAAGGAAGCAGGAAATAGAAACTGGATTAAAAAGGTGGTAAAATTAATTGCAACTACATCAGCAGAAAGAAACTTTGTACATGACTCTTCAAACTCGTTTCAATTTTACCACCTAGAATAGACATTGAATAAGATGGATGATGTTGTTGTTGTTATGTGCCGTCGAGTGGGCCCCAACTCATAGCGACCCCTCCTTGGGTTTCCGAGGCAGTGTCACTACGGAAGTAGGATTGCCCAACCTTCCTTCCGAGGAGTGGCTGGTGGGTTTGAACCGCCAGCCTTCTGGTTAGCAGTCAAGTGCCTTAGGCAGATGGATGATAGATAAAGTAATTCTGACAACTTGGGCCAAGCTCATTGTGAGCAGAAGTGAGTCTAAGAATTTTGCTTACTTTGCAGAGTGAAACTTGCCAAGGAAGACAATTTATTGCTACATTATGATAATTACAGATTAATTGGCAATTGTCTCCATTTTGTACTTTATTCAACAATTTATATTATTATTTCAAAACAGAAAAAAAAAACACAGTTGGGATGACTTTATATGTTGCAACACCTACTTCTGTAGCATTTCCTTTGTATTTGAGGCAAAAATGAAAAGGAAAGTGAATTAGTTAAGTAAAAATGAAGAATCCCTTCAACTTTCAATTTTCTTAAATTGGAAACTCGAGTATTAAGGATTGGTAAGATTTTATTCATTTCATTGGCAAACATGTAAGGAATACCAATTATGTGTGGCACACTGGAGATAGACCTATCAATGAACAGAATATAGATACAATCTCTGTGTGCATAGAGCTCAAAATCTTATGCCTCAGTAACAGTTTTTCTTCCTTCTATTCAGAATAGAAACCACACATTTTAAAGGTCTGGATCCATGCCCACATTTTTGTGAAGTCCTCTTCAACTGTTCTGCATACATGCAGGTCTATCCCTTCTCTGGAATTCCATAATTTCTAGAGATGGTGCCATGATCATACAATTTGGCCATATGCCATCAGGAACTAATATAAATATATAAAAATCACATAAAAAATTCCTTGAAGACAAAGAGTATGCATTTTATACACACACACACACACACACACACACACATATATATATATATTTTTTTTTTTTTTTTTTTCCTCCCTTGGTGAGGGGAGAGAAACACAAATTTTCTGAATATCAAGTAATAATGAGCAAGGCATCTGAAAACTTCCCAGTAAAAGCATTTGAATGTTACTGAAATAAATATTCACTGGAAGCCTGGTTCTTTACTATAGCAAAAAAGATGTAAATAAAACTTTGCCTTAGTGTAGTCTTAAGGGCTGGACACCTCACAATGCTGGTGCAAATGAAGGGGATCTGGTGATAATTTCACAATGAAATCTCATGGAGTATTCTTCTTTTTACTTTTTATTTTAAAGGCAAATTGTTCATTATTTGCTAAAGATGTTTTCCATTTAAATGTCCCTAGATGACTAACACACAATCCAGTCAGTATTTCATTCCAAATAATGATTCAATTAAGGCTTGGTTAAAATTTGCAAAGGGGAAAAAAATGATTGTTTGATGTTGCCATTACCACATCTCCAACTGATTTAAAGTTGTGACAAATTAGAATACAGGTAGACTATTAAAACAAGGAAGTCATTCTGTAAATCCAATCTGTGCTTTGGCATTTTGAAAGAAGCTTGTGGCAGGTGTTATTTGCAGGTTTCTTCAGAAGCACTTTAAAAATCAATTTATATGATTTATAAGACATGCTTTGAATGGGCATCTTGATAAAGTACAGCATAGAAACCAAAGTAAGTATATTGCTTAAAGGAAAGCAAGCTGTGAGGGAGGTCTAGTAGAAAGATGAAGATTTATATTGATAGAACTGGGCCATTTTTGTCCCTTACTGTAACTTTATTGCTTCAAGCTTGAAATCATTCTCTTCAAGGTTGTTTGAATAGATGTCTTCACTATCAGAAGTTCTCTATCAAGAGTTTCTTATGGTCTAACTATGGTTCTAATCATCTTATTGTCAGTAGAATTGTTGTGATGACATTTTTTCCGTAATGAGTAAACAGCTCGTGACATTTATGCCAAGCCTCAGGTGATAGTTAAGGGCATGGAGTTTGTAACTGAAAGAAAACAGCTATAGAGTAAATGAAAGAACCTCATGAGAGAGCTATTATTCCTACATTGAGTAGATTTGTTACTCAAATCATGCTAATTCAGGTGTTTTCATTTTCTGGTTTACAATGGATATTTTTGGAGCCACATACTCTATTACTAGACATGCCTACTAATATTTAAGATGTGGAAAGGCTTCCTAAGACTGTCTGGGAAGAATGTGTTCCTTTGGTGTTAGTATTACCCATCTTTGGTAATCATGAATCTCCTCCTCATCATCTCTGTAGCCATATTTGGGCTAGGTCTATTGGAGAAAAATATTGCTTTTCTTTAAATTTTGCATAATTTCTAATTCCAAAACCAGGCATGAACAAAAGCCATTTATCAAAACACACAGAGCAAAATGTTTTATTTATTCTTGCATAAGTGGGTAACTAGTCATAATTAATCATAAAATCTAAGACGACAGAGGCAAGACACAAACCTCACTCTTCCAAACAATTAGAGTAATTAACTTTAGGAAAGAATCATTCAAAAAGGTCAGAGGAGCCCTTTATACCACATGCACAGAGGTTCTTCCTTGATGGCATCTTGTGCCCTCTTCTTTAGCTGTTTAATACTCTTATCTGCAAGCCAGGTGGACCAAAAGCAATTCACTGGATTTCTTGAAGAAAGAGTTATAGTCTTCTTCTCTCTCTCTCTCTCTCTCTCTTTTTTTTTTTTTTTTTCTTTTTTACAAGGTCTAACCCACAGTAGTGTGCTTAAATACATCCCATTAACCAAGAAGCAATCTATATACATCTTGGCTAAGAAATCAACCTCACAATAAACTTTTTTAAGTTGTCTCACTGATCATAGAAACAGGTGTTTAAACAAACCAAAGACCAAGGTATGGTTAATCCAATTTATGATATATCACCAAGTCTCAGGATTTATAGTGCTACAGTCCAAACAGGTAATGTAGCAGAAAAGGGAAAAATATCCACAATAAGCCATGTTATACAAAAGCCATGTTAGAGTTAACAAGAATGTTAATGCCACAAGGAGAGAATATAGTCTACAGACCATGGTCATTTCTGTACATGAAATATCTTCCTCTTGCTTCCTAAACCTTAACAAATTGTGTTTATAGTACCCATTGCTGACCAAAAGTGTATACCAAATAAGACTAAATGAAATACAACTTGTGCCGACTGCTATTTATTTGACTTCACATACCAAGTAGGAATTGTTAACTACCTGATGTTTTTCTGAAAGATTAGGAGTAACAAAGCTTCATGTTCCTTGGACTGGAATCATCAACTTTTATTATAGGTGGCTTGCTGATAATCATTAAAAAAAGCATTACTGGTGGTAACTCTAGTCAACACAGGTAATCAGTAATGTGGGCACACATTCACACAGAAACAATATCAGAGCATTATGAGTCTGGGTGCACACTGACCTTCAGGTTGGTATTGTGCTATAATGGTCACCGTCTGCCCAGCCCCCTTTAGTGCGGCAGCAGCTTGCTCATGGGATGCTCCACGGAGGTCAATGCCATTCACCTGAAAAAGAGGAAGCCAGAGAATTTTGGTATTTCATAGAGCATATTGTTCTGATATTAGAAAAAAAAAAGTTCCCAAAATTGAAAGGCTGAGATTATATCATGTGCCTCAAACTTCCTCATGTCCTTATCCAAGTGTTTGTCTGTTAATTTTACAAGTTTCATGCTCCTGATAAATTTTAGTTAGCAGAGGCATGGGAGTTCATCTGGTGGTATTTGTGCATGGTTTGACCAGGTGAGATACTTTTGTCCATCCATGTCTACTAGGATTTTAGTATGTGTGCTGAATCTGCCTTTATGGGTTTCCTAGATTTCTGATGTAGACAGGATCCTTCAAAATTAGAGGGAAAACAGAAAAATAGACACACATATAATGTACATTGACACATATGTGTTGACAGATTAATATCTTCAGATGAGGTTTTGGGGAAACTGCATGGGATGGGGTGGGCTGCCTGCCAACTCTCTCTGTGGTCAATTGCCTACTCCTGTCATCTTGAGCTTGGTTAGACAGCCCTGAGCCTTTTCCAAAATAAACATGACTTTCCCATTTCTCATGCACAATTCCAGAATGAATTCTGACAAATGAAATAAAGAATGCCTGGAGTTTGTGTTGCTGTTGCTAATTCCCATTTTGGGTCGGTCCTATGTTAAAAGAAAAACAGAGCATCTGAAAAACAAGCACAAAACATTGCCAGGAGGGGGGAAAAATCATCCTTAAATCAAATCAAATGAGAAGCAAAATCTTTCTTGAATCAATTCCTTCTAATTCAACATAATAGAATTACTGAGTGCTCTTCAATGGCAGGGCTCTGTATCTGCCACAGGAGATAGACGGTAGCTGGGGACAGAGGTGAACAAGTCCCCTAAGAGGCTTTTCTGCTTGAACTGAACACATGATAAGTCTAGTTCTCTAACCTATGCAGAGCTAACTTTTCAAATATGCTTCCTTGACTATGGGCCCATGAAAGAAAAGCAGAATTGATTAGTTTTTCTACATGCTAAAATACATAATCATATCCTTTTGCTTCTCCTTAATTTTCCTTGACAATAGTTTTTGATAGTAGGTGAGAAGTTACTACTTTCACTGTTTCCTTGTCAGGCATGGAAGCTTCAATTCCATATCCTGGTCCTCTAATAGCTTTATTGTTAGGCATAGTTGAGTAGAGACCCTTTTATAACAGAATGAAATACTGCTCTGTCCTGTACCATCCTCACATATGCTTTACATATTCTTCAACTATGCCAAGCATCCTCGTACCTCAGGACCTCTGAGCTTCCTGTTTCCTCTGCTGGGAATGCTGTCCCTGAGAAATGTGCATTCCTTGCTCCACCAATGCATACAGGTGTCTGCCTGCATGGCACCTTATCTATGAGCTCTGCCTTGGCCACCCTGTAAGATAGGATCCTGCTCACTACTCTCTCCTCCTGCCTATTGTTAGATGCTCTCCAGTTGGTTCCCACTTATAACGACCCTACGTCTACAGAACAAAACACTACCTGGTCCTTTACCATCCTCCCAATTGTTGCTGTGCTCATTTTAGCAAACATGTTCTCCTCAAGTCTTTCAAACTTATCAAAGTCACTTTGATTCTTCTCTCTATCCCTGAGGTTTGAATTTTTATCAGTAGACTTTGCTCAAATAACATTTTCAGATGCATTCACAAACAGTTGACATCATTGATGTGACATTTGAAAATATCAAGTGCGGCACAGCCTCATATTTATTATTTCTATTTTTCTGCTTCAGTTTGATTTTTCTCTTCTTGAAGCATGGGCTGGAGTATTGGATGTCATTCATTACTACTGAGATTAGTAATAATCATTGCTAACGTTCATTGAGCATAGTACGTGTATTAGGAGCTTTATATACAGTACATTATTTAATCCTAAAGTACCTCAAATTATTTTTCCCATTTTAGAGATCAGGACACTGAGCTCACAGAGAGTCATTAATTGACTCAAGGCTACACAATCCAAAAGAAGCAAAAGATATAAAATATCTAAATAAAAAGTCCTGAGCTCATAACCACCAATTTCTACTGTCCTTCCTTTAATATGTTGGCAAGATTCTAGTTCTGAAACTTGCCTCTCAGGTATGTAACTCAAGCTTGCTAAGGCTGACAGCACATTATTGGGTGTGGTCTAGTCTGCTCAGCTACGGCCCCAAACAACTTGGTCTATAACTTTTGGTCCAACTCGTGATGATCAGAACATGTAGGGATGAAGCAAAACGATATGTTCAGGTTAGAAAAATTCCATCTATTGCTCACTTCTTATGTACATGCTAGGCTGTTCATTTCACTTTTAGATGTTATGGGTGTTATTCTTAGGATCTTGATGTTATTCAATACCCTACCAAAGATCTAGGTCTGTGTGGTCAAGGATAACAACTTGGCTGCTGATTGTGTGGCTACTGTCCTTTAATGTGTGCCTAGTATACTGCCAAGGAGCTCTAGTAGCTCAGTGGTGAAAGAATTTGTCTGCTAACCTAAAGGTCGGCAGTTTGAATCTACTAGCTGCTCTATGAGAGAAATAAGAAGCAGCCTTCTTCCCGTAAAGAATACAGCTTTGGAGACCCTATGGGGCAATTCTGCTCTGTCCTATAGGGTCACTATCAGTTGGTACTTGATGGCAGTGGGTTTTTTTTTTTTTTTTTTTTAAGTGTAATGCCTAGAACTAACACAATGTTCATGCAAATTCAGTTTCTTTAAAATATTCATTTTAGTCATTTCCTTCCACAATTTAAGGTAAGGAGTGAACTAAAGTGACAAGCAGATTTTGTCAAGTAACTTACTGTTTGGTAGAGTATAACAGCAGGTAAAAACACAATTACAGCACCAGGTGGTAATTGCTATGGTAAGAAGAGGTCAGAATGCTATGAAAGTACAGAGGAGGGGCCTCTTTTAAAGGCCTGCAGGAGGAAAGAAAAGGTGTTCTGAAAGAAATGACATCAAAGACAGGATCTGTGTGAGTTAGTCAGATGAGAATGGGTGCGGGTACCCATAGAACGCTGGGGAAGGAGAGATGGGAGAGGGGTAGTAAAGAATTCCAAGCAAAGGGAGATGCACATAAGAAGGTGTGGAGATGAGAGAGAGCCTGGAACATATGAAGAAAAGAAAGCAGTTAGTTGTGGCTGAAAAGCAGAGTGGGGATGAAGGTGAGTGGAAGACATGACACGAAGCTGGTAAGATGAATGTAGTGAGGTTGTTGTTGTTGGTGGTGGTGGTGGTGGTGATGATGATGATGGCTGACACAAGCATAGCACTTACTCTGTACTAGACACTGAGCTAAGCATTTTGTATGTACCAATTCTTTTAACACTCTTAACATCTTTGTGAAGTAAGAACATACAACAATCCTGTTTTACAGAGAAGAAAACTGGAGCACAGATAGGTTAAATAAATTGCCCAAGATTATACATCTAATATATGGGAAAGTCTGGAATTAAATCAAGGCACTCTGGCTTAACCATCCAGCTCTGTATTCTTAACCACCATCTCTCACTGACTTTCAAGGATCTGGCAGCACAGGGCATAAGAAGTCATTTCAGTAAATTGGGAGTTTACCTTTACTGAGATAGAGAGCCATCAAAAAACTGAAACTGAGGGATCTTATTTTACTATCACTCCTGTACCTTAGGAGTACCTATAGCTACAGGGAATGGAGGGAATATGCTGGAAGCATATGTTTATGGCCAGCCCTGTGAGTAGCTTCTGGCTTGGAGTGATCCCTGGGGAGAGGGTTCTCAAAAGGCAGTGTCACTGACCCTGGGGGCCACTGAGGTTTTCTGTTCCAGCTTGTGTCATCTGCCTGCTCTGAAAACAGTGTCATGGGAAAATAGATGTCATGGAAGAACACTGGGTTTAGACTTGGGAAGGCCAGGATTCAACTCCTAATTCCATCTCTTATCAGCTCTTTACCTTGGGAAAGTTATTTAACTCTTTAAGTTTTAGTAAGAAAGATAATAATCCTTATTTTTCAGAGTTGTCAGGGTGATCAGAAGTAATGCAAATGAAGTACTTAACATAACACTTGGCACAAAATAGATAGTCAATAAATGATTGATATTTGTAATATAGTATGCCCGTTATCTATGAAACAGGGCTTTAAAGTGACTTTTTGTCAGCAATAATAAAACAAACAAACAAAAAGATTTTACAATGTTTGGAATAAGATTAGCTAAAAACTAAAAATTTAACTGTATTGTTAAAATTGTGAAAAAATACAAAGGAGTGACCCAGGGGAGATGGCTAGATAATTGGCATGAGCCTTCAATTAAAATCAGTCAGGTACAGAACACAGAGGACTATCTCAAGCAAATTATTTCACAGTCAGGGGTCTGGGGGGATATGGCAGAGGGACAGCAAGTGAGAAACTGGGACAGAATCCAAAGCTATTTTTACTTTATTCAGAGAAACTAGAGGTAGTGAAATAATGTATTGTCAGTATATTAAATAAATGTAGAGAAGGCTTGCATCTTGCTCCAAGAGGAAAAAAAAAAAAAAAATCATTTTCCTGAACTGATGCAATGCAGTAAGGTGACAATTTGCAATCTGTTGCTGACCGTGCCACTAACTTACAGAAGCCAGCCAATGAGCAGCTCTTGGATGGAAAGGCTTCTGGAAAATGAAGGAGCTAGACCCCATCATCTCGAGGGTCCCCTATGGTTCTATATTCAATGATTTTCATGGCTTAAAAGTAACAGCTGAAAAGAATTTTACAGTTAGCAAACTGTTTTCTCACCTCTCATTTCTTATCAAGCAAGGTGAGACATAAACAAACAAATATAATAAAAACATTCACATGTATTAAGTGATCTTTATCACACACTTGTGAGGGAAGCAGAGAAACTATAAATAGCTCATTTGATCTGTAAGGAAAGTGCATGAAAAAAGAAAGCAAGATAACTTTATCAATACCAGACAGAAGGAGAGGAGTTAGGATGGAAGTTAGGTCCTCTGATCTCTAGTCTAGTGCTCCTCACACCTCACAGGGATG